CCCCGCCTCTCTCCTCTGCTCTCTCTCTCTCTCCTCTTCCCCACTCTCTCCTCATCTCTCAGCCCTCTTTTCTCTCCTCCTTGGTGCTGCTCTGCAGCCTCTCTCCCCCCCACCAATAAAAACCTTTCGTACAAAAAAAAATAATAATAAAACTAACAGAAAGGCTCAGTGCCTGTAGCTCAGGTGGCTAAGGTGCCAGCCACATACACCAGAGCTGGCGGGTTTGAATCCAGCCCTAGCCCACCAAACAACTGTAAGGGTTAACAACTATATTACAGCACATTCAAGAGAAAGTGCATCTTAGAAGGAGGTGCCTAACAACCTTGCTGATTAAGAGAAAGGATACAAAAGACCAGAGGCGGGAGGTGCCTAACGACCTTGCTGATTAAGAGAAACGATACAAAAGACCAGAGGCGGTTTAACACGTGCACACATTCCAAAGAAATTTACTCATATCACTCTCCACCTTCTTCCTACTTCATCCTCACAATACTAGCCTATCACAAACCAGAACTACATCTAAACGTACCCCTCGTTCCCCCACTAACTGAACCTATATAAACCCCTACCTATTACAATAAACAGCTTCGGCTCAGTCCCTTTCCCAATGTGTCTGTCTTTGTCTTATTTGTCTTCCCCTTTCATACGTCAACTCCCCAACACGCCGCGGCCCACCAGTCGGGAGGCGGCAAACAACCATGATGGCTGCAACCAAAAAATAGCTGAGTGTTGTGGTGGGCGCCTGTGGTCCCAGCTACTTGGGAGGCTGAGGCAAGTGAATTGCTTAAGCCTAGGAATTGGAGGTTGCTGTGAGCTGTGATGCTACAGCACTCTATCCAGGGCGACAGCTTGAGGCTCTGTCTCAAAAATAAATAAATAAATCTAACAGAAAAATACCAGGTCAACAAAAGATTCACATATATTGGCTTGGTGCCCATGGCTCAGTAGTAAGGGGGCCGGCTACATGCACAGGGCTGGTGGTTTCAAACCTGGCCCAGCCCAGGCCTGCCAAACAACAGTGACAACAACAATAACAACAACAAAAATAGCCAGGCATTGTGGTGGGCTCCTATAGTCCCAGCTACTTGGGAGGCTGAGGCAAGAGAATCGCTTAAGCCCAAGAGTTTGAGGTTGCTGTGAGCTGTGACACCATGGCACTCTACCAAAGGTGACACAGTGAAACTGTCTCAAAAAAAAAAAAAAAGCTCAGCGCCTGTAGCACAGTGGTTAAGGTGCCAGCCACATACGCCGAGGCTGGCAGGTTCGAACCTGGCCTGGGCTAGCTAAACAACAACAACTGCAACAAAAAAATAGCCAGGCATTGTGGTGGGCACCTATAATCCCAGCTACTCGGGAGGCTGAGGTGGGAGAATAGCTTAAGCCGAAGAGTTTGAGGTTGCTGTGAATTGTGATGCCATAGCACTCTACCAAGAGCGACATAGTGAGACTCTGTCTCAAAAAAAAAAAAAGGATTCACATATAGAATGTATTATATAATATTCACAGCCAGGCCAGGTGGCTCTTGCCTGTAATCCTGGGATTATAGAAGGCCAGACAGGAGAATTACTTGAGCTCAGTAGTTCAAGACCAGCCTGAGCAAGAGCAAGACCATTCTCTATTAAAAAAAAAAAAAGAAGAAAAAATATTAGCTAGATTTATGGCAGGTGCCTGTAAGTCCAGTATTCAGGAGGGTGAAATAGGAATATAACTTTAACCCAGGATTTTGAGGTTGCTGTGAGCTGGGCTGATGCCCCAGCACTGTAACCTGGGCAACAGACTCTGTCTCAAAAAAAAAAAAAAAATTCCAAGATGAGTGCTGGGTGCTTTTGGGCCATCTCCAGACATTTGCATTTTATTTTGTGTCAAATGGGAAGCCATAGAAAAGCTTCAGGAAGGAGAGTGACCTGTTTGTCTTTGGCTGCTGTGAATAGGACAGGTTTGGAAGAGAGCCTGGAGATCAGCTGAGCAGGGAGTAGAGTTGTCACTTTGTAAGGAAGAGGTGCAGACTTCTTGTCTTACTGACCTCCAATGATGTCCTCCACAGGTAATGTTACTCCCAAAGACACAGAGCCCCAGCCAGCCATGGAGTCCTTGCCCTGTGGGCACCACAGTTACCCAAGTGCATGAGACTTTATGTCTACTGCAGGGTCCAGCTGAGTCCAGAACATGCCATAAGAGCAGTGCAGCTTTTCTCAGCTGACCACTCAACTTCTCTGTACCCTGTCTTCAAAGGAATAGATGGGCCCTGATCATCCTGGGGCAATTGGAACTGTAGATATTCCTTTTACCAATGAGAAAACCAAAGCTCAGAGAGGTTAATGACATGCCCAGGGTCACACAGCTTCTGAGAGGCATATCTGGGATTTGAACCCATGTCTGTTTGTCTCCAGGGTTTAAGATCCTTCGTCTTCATTTTGTGCTTTCAGACATCTGATGGCATAAACTTCTAGAATATTAGAGCCAAGATGTACTTAAGAAATCATCACCTTCATGTTCGCAGGACTAATTTAAGGCCCCGTGAAGGGAAGGGGTTGCTTAGAAGTACCTGGCACCTTTACAGAATTGAACTCTGCGCTGTTGTGAGAACCATTAACTCAGCTTTCAAGTATTCTGTGGTGTGGGAGGCTGTGGATCTGGTGAAATTGGCACATCCTTTGGAGTCACACAGATCTGGGCTCAAATCCTAGCTCTAACAGAGGGGAAAAGTGTGTACACATAATGAGTATGTATATATAATACATGCAGATATATGGAAATGAATGTATCTGCATAGACTCTCTGGAAGGATATGCAAGAACCTTGTTACAGTGATTCACCTCCAGGGAAGGGGCCTGAATGGGAAGAACTTTTAACTGCATTCCTTTTCTTGTGCCTTTGCATTTTTGAATGTATGTGCAATAGCTTTCTGTTTTTTAAAAACCTGTCTCCTCTATTTATTATTGCATATTCTTGGGAAATCCACTTAGCCTCTCTGAGGATACATTTATTAATCGAATTTAGAGGGCTAGCAGTCCAATGGGGCCTTCATTGGATATTGTGGGCCCAAGTTCAAAAAACCCTACCCTGAGCTACGTGCAGTGGCTCAGGACTATAATCCTAGCACTTAGGGAGGCCAAGGCAGGAAGATCGCCTGAGGTCAGGAACTTGAATTTTTAAAATTTAAAAATTAGCGGGGTGTGGTGGCAGGAGCCTGTAGTCCCAGGTATTTGGAGGCTGAGGCAGGAGGATTGCTTGAGTCTGGGAGTGTGAGGTTTCTGTGAGCCAGGCCGAGGGCATGGTACTCTAGCACAGGTGACAAAGTGAGACTCTATCTCAAAAAAGAAAGGAAGGAAGGAAGGGAGGGAGGGAGGGAAAAGAAAAGAAAAGACAAGACCCTACCCTATTGGACTTCTGGTAGTTGGAGTTGAGGAAAACTGTGATGTAGACTCTTGGGCAGTGGGAAGAAGCAAGCAAGAAGTGAAAGGGCAAAAAGGGGTCAGCATACTGATGGAACAGCCTTCTTTAATCAAAGGCAGTGGGGGCAGGGCACGGTGGCTCATGCCTGTAATCCCAGCACTTGAGAGGCTGAGGCGGGTCGATTGCCTGAGCTCACAGGTTAGAAACCAGCCTAAGCCAGAGCAAGACCTCATCTCTAAAAATAGCTGGACATTGTGGTGAGTGCCTATAGTCCCAGCTACTTGGGAGGCTGAGGCAAGAGAATCATTTAAGCCCAGGAGTTTGAGGTTGCTGTGAGCTATGATGCCACAGCACTCTACCAAGGGCATCAAAGAGAGACTCTGTCTCAAAAAAAAAAAAAAAAAAATTAGAGGCAGTGGGGGCTTGACTGGTGAAGGAGAAAAAAGTTTTAATAAACAAAAATTCTCAGTGTGTCTCTCCCCTTCTCTCCCTTCCAACACTGTTCTCAGTCTGTAAGGGTGCAGAGACTCGACCTCTCTTTGGAAGTACAGTGGAGCCTCCATAGTTGACCACCTCCCTATATTGATCACCTCCTAGGTCAATAATTGAGTTGACCTAATTTCCACAGACCAGACATACACCACATGTACATGTCAGGACAGAAGCCTAGTTACTTATGTTGACCACCTCCATATTTTGATCAGTTTGTTACAGTCCCATGGGTGGTCGACTTAGGAAGGTTCTACTATATTTTGAGCTCCATCAGGAGCACTGTGCTCTGTCCTTGGTCCTGAAGCAACACCCAAATTAGCATGATGTTTCTTGAGACCAGGAACATCAGTTAGCGGGGACTCTCAGTAACTCTGAACCAGGTAAGGATCCTAATTTTTTTTTTTTTTTTTTTTTGGCCAGGGCTGGGTTTGAACCCGCCACCTCCGGCATATGGGGCCAGCACCCTACTCCTTTGAGCCTGACACTGCCCAAGGATCTTAATTTTTTTATATTTTCCTAAGGCAGGGTCTTGCTTTGCCTCCCAGATAGAGTGCAGTGGTGTCATCATAGCTCAAGCTCCTGGGCTCAAATGATCCTCCTGCCTTAGCCTCACAAGTAGCTGAAACTAGAGGTACGCACCATACCTGCCCAATTTTTCTATTTTTAAAAAATAGAAAAATTATTTATTTATTTTGAGATAGAGTCTCAAGCTGTTGCCCTGGGTAGAGTGCTATGGTGTCACAGCTCACAGCAACTTCAAACTCTTAGACCAAGCGATTCTCTTGCCTCAGCCTCCCAAGTAGCTGGGACTACAGGTGCCTGACACAATGCCTCGCTATTTTGTTGTTTGGGCTGGCCCAGATCAGGTTCGAACCTGCCAGCCTCAGTGTATGTGGCCAGCACCCTACCCACTGAGCTACGGGTGCAGCCCAAGATCATCATTTGTAACCTTGAGAAATATCAGTATTGTTTGCATCTTGCACCCTTCCTCTTTCTACGATGCTGCACCTAAGGGTTCTAGCTGGAGTTCTAGGGTTCTAGTTGGAGTTTCCCCACCCCCCATCAAGTCTACCAGGCATACTGGCCAACTGTGGCCCCACCACACCCAGTGACCATACATTCCATTTGCTGAGACCAGCTAAGGCCCTTCCTTATTAGGGCACTTGGTATCAGATGGAAGGGTGATGACTTGCTGAATATCCAGAACCCTATGGTGTTCTTCTAACCTAAATTGCTTCATTCATGCATTTTTTTTTTTGAGACAGAGCCTCAAGCTGTCCCCCTGGGTAGAGTGCCGTGGCATCACAGCTCACAGCAACCTCCAACTCCTGGGCTTAAGCGAGTCTCCTGCCTCAGCCTCCCAAGTAGCTGGGACCACAGGTGCCTGCCATAATGCCTGGTTGTTTTTTGGTTGCAGCCATCATTGTTATTTGGCAGGTCAGGGCTGAATTCGAACCCACCACCTTAGGTGTATGTGGCTGGCGCCTTAGCCACTTCAGCCACAGGTGCCGAGCCCATTCATGCATTTTTGATAGTAATTTTTACATGGTAATTTTTTTCTTTTTGAAAACGGCATCATACTTGTGAGAACTGCTTGAGCTGAAAGTGACTCTTCCGGCTCGGCGCCTGTGGCTCAACCGGCTAAGGCGCCAGCCACGTACACCTAAGGTGGTGGGTTCGAATCCCCAGCCCGGACCCGCCAAACAACAATGATGGCTGCAACCAAAAAATGGCTGGGCGTTGTGGCGGGCGCCTGTGGTCCCAGCTACTTGGGAGGCGGAGGCAGGAGACTTGCTTGAGCCCAGGAGTTGGAGGTTGCTGTGAGCTGTGATGCCACAGCACTCTGCCCAGGGGGACAGCTTGAGGCTCTGTCTCAAAAAAAAAAAAAAAAAAGAAAGTGACTCTTCCAAAACTTTTCTAACTTTTGAGGAGCCTGAGACTTCAGCTTGAGAGTGGAATGTGACAGTTTAGTTTGCTCTGGCATTAGAGGGGAGGGCAAGTGAGTCCTCAGGGGTCTTCATACTCCAAGGGAGAGCCCACAGGGCAGACATGAGTGGCAACCAGGCCTCAGTTTGGTCCCACTCACTGTATCTTGGTACCATGCGTGGCAAGGGAGAAAAACACATTCTGTCTGGCCCCTGCACACCAGAGTCCTCTTCCCCAATGCATTCATATCAGCAGAAAAATGTCTGTTCTTTGTCAGCAGCTGCAGAATGAGATCATGTCTGGTCCATTATGTGGACCAGAAGGAAGAAGGATGAAGCAGGAGGTGGACTGGGGCAGCAAGAAGAGAGTAAGCCACCACAGGCCAGCACTCATTTAGCCTGGGGGTGTAGGGAAAGAGAGGTCTCCCTCCATTTTTTCTTTGTTCCCTTCCTCTCCCAGTGGGAGAGGAGGAGATGAGGGGGAGAGGTGTTATAGATGAGCACCCAGGCAGGCCTGTGGGTTTAGGGGGACACTGGCCACTGGATGCATCTCCATCCATAGAAGTCAGGACAGGATCTTGTTCTACTACTCCATTCCCCCTCTCCATGTCTCCATCCCCGTCCCTCAGACCTGAGAGGGAATCCCAGCTGCACCGTTAGTTCAGCGTGTGTGAATGCTGGATAAGTCATTAAACTTCCCTGAGCCTCAACTTTCTCATTTATAAAACGGAGGACATGTTGATTTTTAACAGAGAGGCAGGAAAGTGAGGCAGGCACAGCATGAGGCACACAGGAGACCCAGGTATTCGACCGCGCTTGCCGCCCACACCACACGGGGAGCTCTCCCCTTCCCCAGACTGGCAGCCTCACCGGTTCTCAGCCACCAGGATCTGCTCCAGCAGGCGAGCGGCCTGCACTCGAATCTCCAGCTCAGACGCCTGCAGAAGCCGCAACAGCAGGTCGAGGCCACCGTCCAGGCGGATGGCGTCACACAGACCCTGGGCCACTTCGCGGCCCACAGACTGCAGCAGCCAGGCTTCCTCCACCAGCTGAAAGATCTCGGCCAAGCTGGCACCCACTGCCCGCGCGCCGCCGGCCTGCTTCAGCGCAGACAGCGCCTGCTGCAACTCGGGCAGTGCACGCTCCAGGGCGCCTTGCACCTCGCTGCCCACCCCAGGTGACACTTCGCGGGGACCACGGCCGCCCGCAGCCCACCACGGCCCCGCGCCACTGCCCCCATCCGGCCCTGGCACCGCCAGCCGCTCGGCGCCGGGCCGTGGGCCCGACATGGCGAAGAAGCGGCACAGCTTGTAGGCGGAGAGGAGCAGCGTCAGGACCATGGGCACCAGCCTGCGGGGGACATTCCTGACTTGGAGGAACCGGGCAGGGCGGAGAGACTTGGGCCTTGGGAAAAGAGGAACCCGCGAGGGAATCAGGAGAAAGAAGATTCAGGACGCAGGATTGGAGAGAAGGGTACCAGGCCAGGGCGCTGGCCAGAAGTTTGGGGAAGGAGTGAGGGCAGGGTGAGGACTCAGAGGTTGGGGGAAAGGATGCAGGCCCAGATGCAGGAAGAGGGCAGGAGGAGAGAGCCGGGAGGTGAGAAAGGGATGCAGACACCTGAGGGCAGCGGAGGTTGCCTACCGAACAAAGCGCGGCTGGAGCTGGGGCTCTTTTGGGCTGAAGGATGCTCCGCAGCAGCCACGCCCCTGAGCAGCCGCGCTCCGGCACCGGATGCCCAGCCCCCTGGTCTCATGAGGCCCCGCCCCCGCCCCTGAAGCCTCACCCCTAAGTCTTTCTCCAGCCACGCCCACACCCTGGTCAGGCCTCCTCCCTCTTGTGGATCCCCGCCCCCAGCGTTGGTTGTAGGGGAAGGGAGTGGAGAGCGAGAGGACTGTCTCCTTTTTCCACCCCCCTCTCCCATGACATTGCTACGTGGGAGTTCCGCCGCTCGGTGTCCTCTCTCCTACTAGTGGTCAAAGCAATAGTAATAACGATTCCGTACAATCCTTAAAACCCTTTTATGCCTGTATCTCAGCTAAACCTCACAACGTGCCTATGGAGTAGGGGACTAGTGTTCTTTTTATAGCTGATGCAACTGAAGCCGGTAGAGAAGAGATTGGCCAAAGTCACACCCCCCTCTTAATACAGAACAGAAAAATTCAGCTGAAAACACCTTCCTTCAGGTGGTAGGAAGACTTCAAAAGGACTGTGGATGCCTGAAATTGGGCACAAAATCTGGTGTTCTGCGCCAGAGGGCATTTTCCGGGTAGAGGGATGATATTCATGACAGTCCAAAGGTGTGCTGAACAAACACACTTTTGGGGGGAGGGGGAGCGCAGACAGAGGGATAGGGAGGGAAAAAGTGGCCTGCCCAGGATCTGTGAATTAGCGAAAAGGCTCAGAAATCGAATCCAGTCTAGTCGGTTAATATTCACCCTTCTGCCAAGACAAGCTTCGGGTAATGGAAGGACCCAAGAGAAGAACTCAGAAATGAAACTTTGTTCTTTGATGATAAAAAAGAAAATTTCCCAGAGTAATTGCTATCTCTCCTCCCACTGCCTTTTTGCTGTGCCCTAAGAAAACAGTGGGTGGATGAGTAAGTACTCATTCCCGGATGTGTCTGATCAAACAAATCATGGATCAATAACCATTTTGGGAGAATGATTATGGGATAACTCCAGCTACTGGGCATTTTTTCTATTTTAGCTCAAGTAATCTCCTAACACCCCATGATCAAGGTTGTATTAGCCCCATTTTGATGAGAAAACTAAAGCTCGGAGGGTAAAGCTGCTGGAGAGTGACAGAGTGGGTCTTCTTTCTGCTCTCCAGATCCACTGGGCTGTTTGTCCTTTTGATGCCCTGATGACCCTGAGGTTGGCAAGGATCCTACCTCCCAGCTCTCCCAGGTCCTATGTTTCAGGAATGTGACCTTTTGTTGTTGCAGCCTCTGGAGTGTGTGTGGGGGGATGCTGGGGGATGGACTGGGGATTAAGCAAACACAGTGGCAGAAAGGGCACCTCCTCTTCCCTAGTACCTTCCCTCCCTGCCTAGCCCCTCCCTCCCTGCCTCAGGCATCAGAGCAGAGGCTCAGGGAGCTGAGCCCGGCTTGCCAGCACTCAGCTAAAGGACCCACCATGGCATCCGCTAGGCCCTTTCTCATGCTGGCCCTGCTGGCATGGGTTGTTCTGGCCGATCAAGGTGCGGGAGGGTGTTGGCAGCCACCTGAATCCTTGGAGAGTGGGTTAGGGTGGCCGGGCTTGGCTGTGCCAACTGACACCCTTTCCTCATAGACTCATGCAAAGGCCGCTGCACTGAAGGCTTCAACGCCGACAGGAAGTGTCAGTGTGATGAGCTCTGCTCTTACTACCAGAGCTGCTGCGCGGACTACATGGCCGAGTGCAAGCACCAAGGTGTGTTCAGAGCCCAGGTGGGTGGTTCTGGGGTTCCCTTGCAGCTGGGAGATTCACCGTCATCCACTCTGTCTGCAGTGACTCGTGGGGATGTGTTCACCCTGCCAGAAGATGAATATAGGGATTATGACTACCCCATAGAAGAGACCAAAGAGAACAGCAGCTTGCACACACAGCCGGAGGCCGCGTCCCTGGGCCCTGAGGTGCAGGCTCAGACTGAGTGGTACACTGTACAGCCAAGTCTTCTGAACCCCAGGGAAGACATCTCTAAGCCTGAGGTGAACCTGAAGCCTGAGACCCTTGATCCAGAGACCTCAGAGTCCCCAGCAGAGGAAGTGTGCAGTGGGAAGCCCTTTGATGCCTTCACCGACCTCAAGAATGGTTCCCTGTTTGCCTTCCGAGGTGATTCCAGGGTCAGGTCTTGGTGGTCTTGGGGGTGGAGGGGATGTGCCCTAGAAGCAGCTGTTCCCTCACACAACCTCCCCTACTCTAGGGAAGTACTGCTATGAGCTAGATGAAACGGCAGTGAGACCTGGGTATCCCAAGCTCATCCGAGATGTCTGGGGCATCGAGGGCCCTATTGATGCTGCCTTCACTCGCATCAACTGCCAGGGGAAGACCTACCTCTTCAAGGTGCCAGGCCCAGGGCATGTGGGGCAGGGCAGGGGGCATCTATAGGAGATTTGAGAGCTATTGTTCCCAGGGCCAGGGTGAACATAAAGGCTGGATCTGGGGCCCTGGAGTCCCTGGCTGGAGACTCTGCGTCTGTGCCCAGCCACCTGTCTCCTAACACCTTCTCTACCTCCTAGGGTAGTCAGTACTGGCGCTTTGATGATGGTGTCCTGGACCCTGATTACCCCCGAAATATCTCTGAAGGCTTCAACGGCATCCCGGACAACATAGACGCAGCCTTGGCCCTCCCTGCCCATAGCTACAGTGGCCGGGAGCGAGTCTACTTCTTCAAGGGTACCGGGGGGGTGGATGTGGGAATGGGCAGGTAGTAGAGCACTCTTGGTTTCCTTCCACAACTCACTGGGATAGGCCTCAGTGTGTCTCCATCCCTGTGCCAGGAGCTCCTCATCCCAACAGTCTCTGGGCTCTCTAATCTGGCTCAGAAGCTCCCTCCTGATGCCCACCACCCTGCTTTCCAGGGAAGCAATACTGGGAGTACCAGTTCCAGCAGCAGCCCAGTCAGGAGGAATGTGAAGGCGGCTCCCTGTCGGCTGTGTTTGAGCACTTTGCCCTGCTGCAGCGGGACAGCTGGGAGAGCATCTTTGAGTTTCTCTTCTGGGGAAGACACTTTGGTATGGTGGGAGGGAAAGTCTTGCTTCCCCCTCAGTAGGGCTGGAATCCCCTGGGTGAGGAGAGGTCTGGGCGGGCTGGAGGGGGCTGTGATTGTGGAGCTATCAGTCAAGTGCTGTTTACTCAGGCCAGACTTTGCTTCTGTTGATCTTTGAGGGGAAGCTGGGCTCCACCTGAACCCGATACCTTGGACTTTGCACAGCCAGCAGGGGGAGGGGCTACAGCTGAGGGGCCAGGGGAGGTCTGGGGGTCAGGGTGCACAGGGGAAAGAGCACTGAACAGGGAGTCAGAGGCCTGGTGCTGGGTGCAATGGATGAACTCTAAAGGTCCCACTGGAGGGGCCAGGACCCAAGCCCTCAAAGGCCTCTCATTCACCTCTTCCCTGTCACAGGTGGTACCGGAGAGCCACAGTTCATCAGCCAGGACTGGCATGGTGTGCCGGGAAAAGTGGATGCAGCCATGGCTGGCCGCATCTACATCTCAGGCGCGGCACCCCGCTCCTCCTGGGCCAAGAAACAAAAGTCTAGGCGTCGCAGCCGCAAACGCTACCGTTCACGTGGTAGCCGCGGCCGCAGCCAGAACTCTCGCCGGTCATCCCGTTCAACCTTCCTGTCCTCCTTGTTCTCCAGTGAGGAGAGTGGGCTGGGCGCCTACAACTATGCTGACTACGGGATGGACTGGCTAGTACCTGCCACCTGTGAGCCTGTCCAGAGTGTCTTCTTCTTCTCTGGAGGTGGGAGCCCCTGCCACCCTGAAGCTGGTCTAGCTGGGGCCTTCTCTTCTGTCCTGGTCTCCACGGGCTAAGCATAGTGTGTGGTGGGTGACTCCAGAAGGCCAGGCCAGGAGTCCTTAGCCACATCATGGATGTACACTTTCCCTTCTGAGAGAGACCTGGGTGTTTTTCCTGCAGGCAAGAGGGGCAAGGTCAGGCTGGGTCTTACATGCCCTCTCCTGTCCTTTCTTCCAGACAAATACTACCGTGTCAACCTTCGCACACGGCGAGTGGACACTGTGAACCCTCCCTATCCACGGTCCATTGCCCAGTACTGGCTGGGCTGCCCAACTCCCAGCCAGGAGTAGGAGTCAGAATCTACCTAGCTGGGCCCTCTATAGCTTCTCCTCTAACCTCCTCCTCCCAGCCCAATAAAGGTCCCTTGACTCAGAGTTTTTAGACTACTGTCTTGATCTTTTTGTAGTTGATAAGCACGATGATGACTGGGTTTTCATGCTCAAGTGTGGGATAGGCCTCCCTCAAACCTCCTTAGGATGTTGGCACATTAACCATTTAGCGTAAAAAGAAAAAAATGCAGTTCCGGCTCGGTGCCTGTAGCTCAAGTGGCTAAGGCGCCAGCCACATACACCAGAGCTGGCAGGTTCAAATCCAGACAGCGCCCAACAAACAATGACAACTATAACCAAAAAATAGGTGTTGTGGCAGGGGCCTATAGTCCCAGCTACTTGGGAGGCTGAGGCAAGAGAATTGCTTAAGCCCAGGAGTTGGAGGTTGCTGGGAGGTGTGATGCCACAGCACTCTACCCAGGGTGACAGCTTGAGGCTCTTTCTAAAAAAAAGGAGTTCCTTTCTTCTCTCCTCTCTTTCTCTTCTCACCTTTCTTTCTTTCCTCTATGTTCTTCTTCTTCTTCTTTTTTTTTTTTGTAAACATTTGCTCTGAGAATGAGCACTGCTTGCCTGTGTAACTAATGGGTCAAGTCTCTAGCATGTGAGCCTAGGGGTGTGCCATTTTATTTAAAAGAAAAATTGATTGACGTCTACACAACCAGCAAGGAGTCTCACTCCATCTCCCTAGGAAGAGTACCGTGGCATCATCATACCTCACAGCAACCTTGAACTCTTGAGCTCCAGAGATCCTCTTGCCTCAGCCTCCCGAATAGCTGGGACTATAGGGGAGGGGGCAGTCTCTCTCTTGTTCAGGCTGGTCTCTGGCCTCTAAACTCCTCAGCTCAAGCAGTCCACCCACCTCAGCCTCCCAGATGCTAGGATTACAGGCGAGAGGCACTGTGCCCAGCCCCAGAACTTCCTTTATGCAGTTGTTCCACTGAGGGCAAAACCATCCTCTAATTTGGTAGGGCTGAATGACTCTCAAAGCCCAGTGGGGAAAGGAGAGATCCTAGATATTTTCCCTTTTAAGGTTAGGTCAGGTGAGCACTTGGGAATTTTAGTACATACCTTTCATGTAAAATGGAAAACACCAGAAATAAAGGTTAAAAAAAAAAAGAAAGAAAGAAAAAGAAAAAATGAAAACAAATCTGTCCTGACGGGGGTGGCTTCCTGCGTGGGTGAAGCAGGGGAAGCTGGGCTGCCTCCCTGGGTTCAGTCTGTGCTGGGCTCAGGTTCTGTGTCCTAGGGAGGGCCCCATGAGGGCACTTTCCTCTTGATCCAAGCAGCCTCCAACGACCTACCAGCAGCCAAGCAGGTGGTTCTCTTTTTTTTTTTTTTTTTTTGAGACAGAGCCTCAAGCTGT